ATAGAGAAAGAGAGAGGGTCACAGAGAGAGGGAGACACAGAATCCAACTGAGCCACCCAGGCACCCCTTAAAATTTTGCGTGTCTCAGTTGAGCGTCCGACTTCGGCTCGGGTGGTGATCTCGCAGTTTGTGGGTTCGAGGCCCGCATCGGGCTCTGTGCTGACAGCTAGCTGGGAGCCTGGAGTCTGCTTCGGATTCTGTGTCTCCCTCTCTGTGACCCTCCCCTGCTCACGCTGTCTTTTTCTCAGAAATAAATAAAACATTAAAAAACTTTAAAAAATATTCCTTTTAATGAAGCCCCAGAAACTACTTTTGTACTAGTGATGCAACCTTAATATGATTGGTGAAGTTCATTCTTATGTATTAAAATGTGATTATCCTTACCTCAAGAGGCTGTGAGGATTAAAGGAATCACTTGATAACCTTGAGAAGACAAGGTCTGGGGCTTGAGGTGTCCAACAATTAAGAAATTGTGAATAATAGGAAAGTATTTGGTAAAGCTGTGACTGGTCTCTGGATCTATAATAAGCTCATGGGACAGAAAACTAGGTCACTCAGGAAACAAAAGTAGTTTCTGGTAATTATTTCCAGCTCTTTTTTCTTTAAAACCTAATTCAATTCCAGAATCACCTTATTTTATGTAGGAATGAAACCATATCTTAAATGACACTGGCCTTTTACATGCCTCTTCCTCCCTTTCCCTTTCTTGGGGTATGTTGGTGGTGATACAAACCTGATTCTGAGAACATTCAACAAATACTTAACAGATAGTTGAGACTGATGTGTACAGTGTTGTTAGGTTCCAGATGTACAATGGTGAACTAGAGTTTGATGCTTATACATCCTACAAAATGAACAAAGGGATCTTTTGAATAACCAGTTAAAACTAGCTCCACATCAGCAAGACTCTCCTGCTCATCATCAGTAGGAGACATAAACCTAGTTTCCATGCATACAAATTCAGCCTTTTCTGCCAAAATTAAAGTCCTGCAGACAAACGATATAGGTTTCTCTGACCTCACTTACATGCATTTCTGTTATGCTTCCATTTTAGGTATAGCTCACTCATGTTTAAATTTCATGTTTGTTCAATGCTCCTTTTCAATTGCTTTTTCTTTCCCCACTAACTTCATTTCCCAAGCTCCAAGTTATTGCTCCTTAGTTCCTTTAGGCTATAAATTGACCTCATAAGAATTTTCTTAAAACATTTTTTTGGGGGAGGGGGGAGCACCTAGGTGGCTCATTCAGTTAAGTTCTTGATTCTTGATTTTGGCTCAGGTCATGATCTCATGCTTTGTGGGTCTGAACCCCACATTGGGCTTTGCGCTGGCAGTGCAGACCCTGCATGGGATTCTCTTTCTTGCTCTCCCTGTCCTTCCCCCACCTGCTCTACCTCTCTCTCAAAATAAACTTGACAGAGCAGGGAAGATCATGTGAAATCATGACCCCATGAGTCGAACACTTCGATTGAGCCACCTAGGCATCCCAAATTTTCTTAACATTTTTTTATAAATGGATCTGAAATGAAACATTTATAGTTTTGTCTCCATCTTTTTTGGATAGCCTTTCTTCTGGTTTCCCCTTCATGGAACACAAAGAAAAATAACCATTATCAAGTTTCTTCTTACTAAATTACTTTCTTAAATCTTCACAATAACCTTGACAAAAAATAGTATTGCAGGTGGAAAACTGAAACTCAGAGAAATAAAGTGGCAAAATGAAGATCAAACATAAAACTAAATTTATTAAAGCCCAAGTGTGTCAGATTCTCAAGTGTTGTTTCTTCCAAACCAAGGCAACTTTTTCTTCTTGGGCACTCCTGCACCCAAAGTAGGTTTCCTTTCCTTCCACCACATACAATTTCTCTTCCTTTTCCCTCCGGTTCTTAGTTTCCTGTTATCTTCAATAGTAAGTGGCTTTATCTGAATAAATACTTTGATCTCACTCATTCACATCTAGAATTCCGTTTGGGATTCTAAGGTCACTCTGTCTTTTTCAGGAACATTCTTCATTTTCTTAAGTTGGAGATAACCCAGCAACTGCAGGAGGCAGCTACACCATTGCTCTCTGCCTAAGGGAACGCTTTGACTATACATGCCATCTTTAAAGAGCTTGAGTATCATCTAAGAGCACTTTTTCTAATCCCCATTATAATGTCCCTCCCTCTTCCAGTAACCCTGTTTCACTTTTTTTCTGATAACATTTTCTGAAGAACACAATCTCTCCAAACTAATGAAGCTAGTACCTTTGTCTAGAAATTTGAATGATTTATGCCCAGATTCACAGAAATTTTTGTGAGTCTTCAAATCAGTCCACTGCCTATTCTCATTCCCTCCATAGATGTTAACAAGAACCTTTCTTTAAAGCCAATCTGTCCTTCCTTTTACAGTCATGATCTCATCTTTCAGTTACCCAGACATTTGGACATACAGTATTATTTAAATCTTCTTCCAATTTCCCATCTTCCTGGGGGCTTTTTGTTCATTATTCTACCCTAGCTTTCAGCAAATGTAGTCAAACTGCTTATAACAACCTTATTTACAGCTGACAGCATATGCAACCTAGACTCAGAGGATGTAAATTAACTCTGCACACACAATTTTCCTTTGTTTTTTCCAACAGTACTCTTCCAGGGCCTGAATCTTATGTATCCTCTACTTCCTGGGTTATGTATGAATAGCTGAGATACAGCAGGTGCCTCCCCTTTACCTTCATGAACCATTCACATAGGCAAGGATTTGAGTTATTCAGAAGGCACTATTTCCCTTTTTATCAGGATGAGCAAACTGTCAGCTAACTCACTTTGTCAGACAGCAAGTACACTGTGGAGGAAAAAGTGCAGCCAAGATTTAATATCCCTTCTTCCATAAAGTTCTATTATATTGACCCAGAGGGATGTTCATAATAGCAAAATAAACACAGCAATGGGGGGGGGGGGGAAGGGACGGGGAAGGCAAATAGTACTTAAGGCTCTGCTTACCAACCTCTGCAAAGACAACTAAAATAAAAATGCCAGTTTACCACCTTTTCATTGTAGCAACATAATTGTATTCTTTGCAAATCATGCAACAGAGAAACAGTAATTTTTTTCTTGTTGCTAAGTGGGCTTTGGCCTGCCACATGCAAATTAATACTTAGGATGTCAGTGGATTTGACTATTCTGAGCCAAATGATGTCCCTGTGTTTTCAGGGCTATTTATATGTATATGCACACACATGAAAAAATTTATAATTTAAAAGAGGTATTGAATCTTATTATGTCTTCTGAATACAATTCAGTTTACCCAGGTGGCATGTTCACTATCACTCCATGCTGCTTTGCTGGTACAGAAATAATTTACAACTCAACAAAAGTCAAGAATTATTTTACTAATTCACCTTCTGTAGAGTGTTTAGAATGACTAGCAGAATGAACAAGCTAATATTAATAACCAAACCACAGAAGTAAAAGAGGTAATGTAGTTTTAGGATTATCACTTACCATTCTTTGGTTCTAAAAACTCCACATGTAGCATGTTTAGAATTCCCATTACACAAATGAGCCAATAGGGGCTCAGCCTATCCCGGGCACTAAGCTTCACCAACTTAAGCTCTTTCTACAGCTAATTGTGTAGACTTTAGTCTTCTGAAATCTCCATTTCTTTACCTCAAAACCTGAGGTGGGGAGGTTAGAACTGAACCCCCATAGCAGCAAAATTCAGATTCTAGATACAGCACTCTGCTTGAAACTGGAATATTCTAATGTAAAGTTTGCATGATCTCAGGAATTTTAATTCTCAAAGGTACTATAATGTTCAAATATCACTAACCCCATCTCAGAATAATTAATATACCCTTTTATAAATGATAAAAGATTCCATATTAAGAGAAAAACTAGGGGCGCCTGGGTGGCTTAGTCGGTTAAGCGTCCGACTTTCGCTTAGGTCATGATCTCGCGGTTCGTGGGTTCGAGCCCCTCGTCGGGCTCTGTGCTGACTGCCAGCTCAGAGCCTGGAGCCTGTTTCAGTCTGTGTCTCCCTCTCTCTCTGACCCTCCCCTGCTCATGCTGTCTCTCTCTCTCTCCTAGAAATAAATAAAAAATATTTAAAAAAAAAAAAAGAAAAACTATCCTAGAAATAAATAAAACATTTAAAAAAAAAAAAAAGAAAAACTATTGCTTATGTTTGAATATACAATCATTCATATTCCTAAAAATTTGGGGAAAACCATTTTCCTATGAAATTTAAAACAAAATTGTGTATCTCTTTAATAAACCAAAGAAAGTTTTGGTAGTACAACCATCCCTCAATCTGTTCAGAGCATTGTTTAGATTTTCTTAAGATTTCATCTGAACCATGAACAAACTACAGTCAACTTTTAAAATGTCAGTTTTCAATCAAAGGGTTTAATTTAATGTTGGCTATTATCCATATAATACATTAATAATACGTATTATTTTTGTTTTACTAGGGCTAATAGACTTAAATTCCTTTTTAACCACACAACATGAAACTAGTAAGACTGACATTAACAGTGGCATTCTAATTGTTTTCATCACCCACAGCTACAGTATGTTCAGGTTTTAACTTTTACCAGCTATAAAATTATCAAACTCCACTTAAAAAAAAAAAACAATGCCTGTATTTTTAATTAAGAAGGCATTTATCTGAACATGTAAAAAATATCTACTCTGTGGAACATAAAAAAGTTTAACTTTTGTCTCTATAAGGTAAATATTCAGCTGTTTCATAAAACAATGTGGTTATTTTTATTACCTGTAGCTTTAGTTATTTTAATATTAAGTGCATTTTTAAACACTTGGTTACTTAAAAATGAGGGATAAACCGGTCTCCCAGTTTCAGATCTTAGTGGCCATAAATCATCCAGTCATATCAATATTTCACCTATGTAAAAAATTTTTTAATTTCTTCCTGTTTATGTACTGAAACACAGAATTAATAAAGTTAACAGCATACTCTGATACAATTGATTTAGGATCAGTTTTTCAAATAATCTTCTAGGTAATGTACAAGCAGTCTTATGCAGAAACGGAAAAGGCTTTTGCATAACCAAAGAACATACTACGCGAAACATAAACGAAAGAAGAAGATTACTTCAGAATGGAGCAATGATTACTTCAAACGAACCATATGGGCTCCTAGAAGGGCAAATGAAAACCACACGAGGACTTGGATTTCATGGAAATCTCAAACTGAAAAAATCCATTATTCCAGCACCTCATACTATCTCTGTCCCTATCGATGACTTATGCCAATTCCTTATCTTAGCTACTAACGGACTCTGGGAAGTTTTGGATACAAAGGAAGTCACTGCATTGGTAATGACAATGTTTGAAGTGTATAAAGAAACCTGTTTTGTCAAACAAAACAAATCTTTACCATCCAAAGAGCCTCCATTTTCCCCAATCAATGAACCAAGCAATACTAAATCAGAAACTAACATCCGTGTACTATTTCAGTATATACCTCAATCTACAAAATCTGTGTCAACTACATACTTAAAAAAAAATGTGTCTGATTATTCTATTTCTAAAAATGCACAAACATTTCCACCAGAAATGATTAACCATGATCTTTGCAGTGAGAGAGAAGCTAAAGGACCAACGAATGTAGATGATGTGCCAAAACACTCAAGTGAAAAAGAAAAAGCAGCATGTACTAATAAAAATTTCTATGAAGGTGCAGCCAAGTATATTAGCCATGAACTTGTACGTGCTGCCTTAGTGGCTGGCTCCAGAGACAACATTACAGTCATGGTAATACTTCTCAATGGAAGTGAGCATCAGTTTTTGACATAAAAGATAAAGTTCTGATTATCCAGAGTATAAAAATGTAGACAGTTCTTCAGAAAACCAGATATTAGGATCATACATCAATACCATGTAAATTATTTTTAAGAATGCATTAAAGAAACCATAAAAGTATATTTTAGGTTACATAATACCATTTATACATGTTCACTGTTCATGTCAAGAAAGAGAAAAACCAATACTTGCTTTTTATACCACTTTATTCCAACCTGAGCACCTCAATATAAAACTAAACACTGGTGAACTGTTTTCCTTACTAATTCTGAATTACTGTAAATGTACAAGTTCTGCTAGCAGTTCAACACTTAAATAGATTAAATCATCTCTGACACATGGTAGATTTCATATAATGAAAATACCTAAAACAATTAGTGCAATATACCGAACTGATCAAAATAAAATGAACTTTGGAAAACAAGGCTGCAAGATTGTTACTAACATACGGCAATACTTATGTTACAAATTACTGGTACATTGTTTATTATGGTTCTACCATATAGGAACTGACGGCCCTTCCTTTCAAAGGGAGAGAAAAGGTAAAATTAGCTGTTTTAGTAACTGTACATTTTGTATACTTTAAGCAACTCTTAAATATTACAGAAAAGTAATAAACATGTATGGAGACTACAGTGCAGTACCCTATTTACAGTACAGCTGAAGATCGAATTTAAAATAATCAAGTTTGAATGTACATAATTGTTAGTGCATTGACTATATTCTGTCCAAAGGGAACAAAAGCCCCTTCCCTGCCCCCAACAACAAAACCTATGTAATGGCCAGCAGTGATTAAACAGAAATCACAGACACCTGGTTTGTTTCATTTCTGTTGAAGAGCTCACGTTTGAAGGGAACATTATCCATTAAGATGCATTCATCAGTTTTCATATTCCTAAAACAAGAGGTTATATTTGACTTTTTTAACCCCACTAAAAATACCAGGACTGGCTATAACTTAGATGCTACTAATGTTCATTCTTTTGCCCCTAAAGATAGATGTGGGACTGTTTTCTTGTGGTTAATTTGTTAAAACGTGGAATGTATATTTTAAATATGCAGACTAAGAGAAATTACCAGTTGCCTGAATACCGTAGCTAAGCATAAATATCTTTAGAATCTCCTTCTAAAAAAAGAATGTTTTTGAAAAGCCCAAATTAATAAGTTCCAAATCTTTTTCATAGAAGTGGCTGGTTAACTGTGGATTTACATCATCATTTGTCTCTATCCCTGGTGATGAGAAACGACTCCCCCTAACCGTCCAAGGAAACAAGCACACACAGAGCTCTCATTCCCCCCTTCTACTTCTGAAACATTAGTCAGAGGGTCACATGCATGTTATTAAAAATTAAGTTCAAAACACTTAAAATAATTCTGTATTAGAAACTTGACTCTATCATAAGTCTCTTCTTTTTGGAAGTCATACTGGGCTGGTTAAATGCTCCAATTCCACTGTCATTAACATTTAGGAAGCAGAAGAGTATTCCAGCAAGTTCAAACTGGAGGTTTAGTTACTACAACACTGACTCCTGGTTGGCTGCGTGGGTTCAGTAAGGTCTACTCCTCTTCCTCTGGCAGAATTTGCTCCTGGATTCTGTGGTTCATTCTTTGGCAACTTTTTAGCTGAGAGATAAATTGTCAAAATAAATACAATTAGAATATTCATATTAGAGTTACTTTCATCTGCTTACTTAAAATATTTTTTTTCCAGCTAGATTAACCTGAAGTATCACATAGTAATATGTTCATTCTTTTTAAACGTTTATGGAGTACCTACCAAATACTAGATTGGTCAGTCCTTAGGTTAGTGGAGTTACAGACATACAATTAAACCTTAATTTGACTAGAGCTATATTTAATTCTTTATATATATATTCGGTTAAAAATACTAGAAAAGGTATACTTTGATAATCATTAATACTTCTATTGTTTAAGAACATCTAAGTTAGTAAAAAAAGAATGATGGCCAGCCAATAAGCTTGTAAAGAATCTTAGCTTTTATCATTGTTCTCTAGTGTGCCACAAATACTTTTCTGGAACAATTTAGGATTATAAACAAACACCATCACCATCATCCTGTAAGAATTTGTCCTCTAACTTACTGTCTTACCTAACTCACCCCAAATTCTGACAGATCACATCTTCTATTTTCTTCCTGGTTACACATACTTTACCCTAAAACATCTACCACATTCCTCTTTTACGTCTGATTAAGAACCCTAATCAGATCACCAGTAGCTCTGCCTAGTTATGAGTGTACTTGATTCTGCAGGCTCTATCTCAAAAAACTATTTCCCAATTTTGAGTCAGGTGATCTTGGCTTGCCACATTTGGATGAAGCCCTCAACCAGCAATTAGGGTTTTAGTTCTGCTTAACTCCATACAGTTAATGGCTGTTCTCTGAAGCCTGGATCTCAAGATTTAAAAATTCACCTGTTGGATACAGTCTGCTTAGATGTCAAAGATCCTTGATGTGGATTCACTAAATATTAACTATCTAAGAATCCTGATTATATAGGTGACTAGATACACTGGTCTCTATCAACCTTGGAGATAGACGACTATGTCTGAATTCTAGCTTTATTTAGCCTTGGCTCAGGTTACACAAAAGCTAAACATGTTCTAATTCAGTCTCTGAATGCCTAACTGCATTTTGGATTATTTTATACTTTATCTGCTGTAATATTACACGTGAACATTAATCATCTTTAGAATCCTAAACATTTTAGAATCCCAATGCAGTTCAATGGAAGTGAGAACCAGGAACACTGCAGTTTGGGAAGAAAAGCCTTCACTTTGGGCCACTTCTCTAGAACTGGCTCTAGGGATAATAGGGTGAATGGTAAATAATAAAATGGCAAATTTCCAGTTAAATGTATTTCAAACAAAGCCTTGTAGGGACAAAGAAGAGGGTAGCATTTATAACTTTTATTATTAAAATATTGTTAGGTTTTGTACTGAGTGATTATTCCCTATATTTGTCCATGGGCTTTCTGTAATTAGATCTGAATGAAATTAGGAGGTTGCAGGAAATAAAGTGGATTGAGGAACTTTTAGCTTCTACTGGTTTACTGCATAAAGATTAAACTAAAACACAACTCAGAGGTCTCAGAAGCAGCCTCCTGTTTCCTATTTTATTAAGCATTACCAAAGTGAAGCTGGTACTATTTGTTTGGTATGTGGGTAATTGGAGTTTACCAATTTGCCCCTGAATTAGGATTGTTAAGAGGCTAAAATCCTGGATCAAGTTAATGAAGATGTGCAACGAAAGAAACTATGCAAGCAAGATCTTATCAAACTGAAAGAAGTTAAATTTATTGTAGACTTTTCTCCAGTAAATAACTGTACTCCCTAAGTCATTAAGAGGGAAAATATGAGTGCATTGTGTGTCACTAATATGGTAAGAGAAATAGAAAAGCAACAATTCAATTTATGCTTGGTTATTTCTTTCAAGGGAAGGAACATTGTAATGTCAGAAAAAAATAACTGGAAGTTCTAATATATAGGCTATTTTCTGACTAGAAAAATAACATTATTATCACAACCGCATAAAAGGCACAAATTAAATAAGGCCCATCTGGGGGCACCTGGCTGACTCAAATCAGTAGAGCATGCGACTCTTGATCTTAGAGTTGTTGAGTTCAAGGCCCACAGTGAGCACACTTATGTAACATGTGCATACTTGCATTACATTTGTCAATAATCAATGATTTAAAAAGAATGTGAGAAACGAAAATAGTGCTTGTTCAAGGCAAATCAGAGATGAAAATAGTTATTAATCAGTGAGAAAGAAATCTCTGTATGCCCATATATTACACTGATAAATACTGCTCTGAGCTTCTCTTCCTTTTATGTAAAAAGTATAATCTAATAGAAAAACATATTTATCCAAATTTCTTATTGAAATCTTTATATAGACATTTATCTGCCTGAAGTATTAGCTCATAGTCCAGGCTTTTGACACCTACAAGAAACTTACCTAAACTAAAAAAAGTACTGCAACTTTATAGGTAAGAGTCTTTCAAGTTTTAACAATATTACCAACAAAATAAATCTTGGAATGGATCTAGAAGAGAAAAATCATTAAAAAAAAAAATCAAGAGTTTTTAAAAAGATAAGGTGCCTGGTGGCTCAGCCAGTTAAAATCTGACTCTTGATTTCAGCTCAGGTAATGATCTCATAGTTTGTGGGATTTAGACCTGCTTCCAGCTCTGTACTGACAGCATGGAGTCTAGTTGGGATTCTCTCCCTCTCTGCCCCTTCCCTGCTTGTGCTTGCATGCTCAGCACGCGCTCTCCCTCGAAACAAATAAAAAAATAAATTTTAAAAAGACAAATCATATATGCCCCAGTGTAACTTGTTTTGTCTACATTTACTACTTGAAAACTTACCTATTGCCATGAATATTTCATTTACATTCATTGATGTTTTAGCTGATGTCTCCATGAATAATAAACTGTTGTCATCTGCATAGGACTGTGCTTCCTGTTTATAAAAAAATGAGATAAATACTTTGCACATACTATACCTGCCTTAGTTTTGTTATAGAAAAAAAGGCTTATTACTACTCTAACTTGACGACCTACAATGAGCAACTGCATAAGAAACAATTACTACTAAAGGGAATAGAGAGATAAGAGCACTCTTGTAGGATATCTTTTCAAGTTTCCTCTTGCCTTAACTTCTTGCACTGTTACATTCTGATTCATCTGATCTGACATTAAAATTTGATTTCAAATGATGAGTTCCAGAGGGTGGAAAATTATCCTATTCTAAACTAAATATAAGTCTCTTCGATCTCTATGGCAAATTTTATTTATGCTCGTTACTTGCAATGAACACAAAGGTAATCCAAGTATCTAATATGGGGTTCAAACATTAAATGGCTAGCAATATTTTAATTTTGAATATGTCATTAATCATTCCTTTAAAAATTACTACTCTATATTTTTGTCATGCTTTACATTACATATATTATTGCCTTTAAGCCTCAT